CCGCGTACCGCAAAAAAAAAAAAAAAAAAAAAAATCTATAGTGGATTTCCCTGGTGACTCAGTGGTTACGAATCTTCCTGCCAATGAAAGGGACGCCTAGAGCCCGTGCTCCACAACAACAGAAGCCACTGCAATGAGAAGCCTGCGCACCACAATGAAGAGTAACCCCCACTCGCCACAAGTAGAGAAAGCCCGCGCACATCAACGAAGACCCAACACAGTCATAAATAAATAAATAGATAGACAGATAGATAAATAAAATCCATTGTGGTGATTATTGTACAATGTGAAATACTTAATGCCACTGAACTGTACATAGAAATAAGTTAAAATGGTAAATTTTACCATGTATAATAATTTTAATACTGGAGCACCAAAGGTAACTAAAAAAGGGGCTGATTATTAAAGATTAGAGGAACTAATTATTGGGCTTCTAGAAGACAAAGGTATACTAATTTAAGAGATAACTTCTGTAAGTGGTAAAGTAATTCCTCACATAATATACTCTTCAAGAATACTTAGGATTCAAAGACTATAAGACTAATGTTTGCATAAAAGGAGAAGTCTCAATTATTCTACAACCTATATAAATGAACATTTATGAACTGCTTCATAATCTGGTCAGTTATATTGGTCAGATAATACTGAAACAGACAACAAGATATTTATATATTCTAATTTTTCCCCACAAAAATAAGCCATTATAAAAGATTAATGTGCTATGATAGTAACAGTACCTTAAATCAGATGCTATGATTTTAGTTAGGAGTTAAGCATAAAAATACAACAAGCAAACACACAAAAACAACACTATCTGTAGTCCATCATGGTAATGAAGACACCTGAAAAAGGTACCTAGGGACCACAGCAAAAAAGCTCAGCTGCAAGCAAAACTCACTGCAATATCACAGCCAAGATGTCTCATCTAGGTGATACAATTCTACAGCAAAACAGAAAATCAATTAAACCAAGCTAACACTACTCCAATGCAGCAAACCTAGTCAACAACACTGAAGTTCCATAGAGCTAGTAGCCTTTCTCTAAAGACCTAAATTGAATAAAGATTTCATTTTTCCTAAAGCTTAAAAAAAAGGAAGAAATGGAATATTACTCAGCCATAAAAAGAAATGAGA